GACGCGAAGGATAACTATGGCCCGGACGCCGCTGTCGAAGGCCGCCGGGAACGGCCACGAAGCTGTTGTGCAGCTGCTGCTTAACGCGGGCCAGGTCGAGGTCGATGCGAAGGAAGGGTCCGGCCGGACGCCGCTGTCGTGGGCCGCCGAAAACGGCCACGAAGCTGTTGTGCAGCTGCTGCTTAACACGGGCCAGGTCGAGGTCGACGCGAAGGATGGGTCCGGCCGGACGGCGCTGTCGTGGGCCGCTTATAACGGCCGCGAAGCTGTTGTGCAGCTGCTGCTCAACACGAGCCAGGTCGAGGTCGACGCGAAGGATAATTATGGCCGGACGCCGCTGTCGAAGGCCGCCGGGAACGGCCACGAAGCTGTTGTGCAGCTGCTGCTTAACACGGGCCAGGTCGAGGTCGATGCGAAGGAAGGGTCCGGCCGGACGCCGCTGTCGTGGGCCGCCGAAAACGGCCGCGAAGCTGTTATGCAGCTGCTGCTTAACACGGGCCAGGTCGAGGTCGACGCGAAGGATAAGGAAGGCCGGACGCCGCTGTCGTGGGCCGCTTATAACGGCCGCGAAGCTGTTGTGCAGCTGCTGCTTAACACGGGCCAGGTCGAGGTCGACGCGAAGGATGGGTCCGGCCGGACGCCGCTGTCGTGGGCCGCCGAAATGAACCGCAAAGATGTTGTGCGGCTGCTGCAGCAAGCCTTTACTGAAAATACTCGCACTGTTCCCACAAATGCAGCCCTGTCAGATGGTTCGACGGAGGTGAGGATACAATAGCTAGTAATTGTTTTGTTCTGATTTCTTTTTTTAAAAAAAAGGGACCGGAAAATCGTGACAATATATGATCTCTATTTTAATTCCAGCATGTTCTGGTATATTCTATCCTTAGCCGTGCTCTTTGTTTTTCCGAGCCTGTTCGTCCTCTTTATTTATTCTCATTTCTAGGTTAACTTTAAAATATCCTATCCATCTTTGCATTCTACATCATGGAAGGCACAGTTATTTGAGCCATTCTACAACGGAGGAGCACAGAAGCGGGCAAGCTAGCGGCTTCCAAATGCCACTCCAGCCGGAGGAACGTGCGCAGAAGGCTGTGCCTCCCCGGACGGTATGGGCCGGATACTTCCGAGTCCAACACGGCATCCATAAAACTCTGGCTGGATAGAGTGTCGCTTTCGGAAGCCGCGAAAATTATAGCGCTGTCGGCCAAGAGGTACAACAAAAGACTTGGTCCATATCGCGGTCGCGAACGACGCGTGCACGAGGTAGCAGCGAGCCTGTATCAGGGCGCGTCCAAGTGGAGCTCGCCTGGGCCACGCTACCGCCCCATGCAGGGTTCGTGCAAGGTTAACGGCCCACAGCCCCTCAGCCCCAGAAAGCTGCATTTGGCGGGAAGGCAGGGCTGGATGAACCATGCGGCAGGAACGACAGCCAGCAGAATAACTTCTTGGCCACCCACTGTGACACAATGACATAATTACAGGTGCGAAAGGGTCAACAACTGAAACAGGGACAACTCTCCAGAAGTCACACGCGTCCGCATTCTAACACCCTATCTGGAAGCAATCAAGCCTATACAGTGCTTCACTCGTCCTCCACCAGCATCAAGCCCTGCACGATGGAGTCAATCGATTGAGCGCGCCGGTCAGGTAGCCCGACGATTGACGAGGGCCTCGCCGTTTTCCTTCTCTGTCCCTGCAATAGCAAAGGCAGCCAGAATTATAACAAAATTTCGTCAGTTTTGCAGCTAGTACAGGCCCATGCTATTTTATCAGGACGGAAGCGTTGAAAGCAATGCAACCCGAAAGATGCGGCATGCATAATTGGCTCCGTGATGGAAGGGGAAATACTCCGTCGCTGTGCATCGTAATGGGATGGTCGTAGGCGCCGCGGAAGCATAGGCTCGTCGAGTAGATTGATGCGAAAAACCGTCGAATCGCTGCCTTACCGCGCCGGATCGAGTACTACCACCGCGGGAACTGGCTCTGTAGCGTAAGAGACGCTAATCTCGAAAGTCGCGCCAAGCGTATCGGGCGAGGCATATAAAACCTCGCACCGCTGCCCCCGAAAAACACTCTACCTGGCATATAGCAAATAACGGATCATAGGCCTCAAAAGGTTCGCAAGCGCCGCTTGCGCGGGTGCCCGTCCCTGCACCGACTCGCCCTAAAAAGCTGGTTGAACTACAGAAGAGTGGTATGGAAGGCACCCGCAAGCAACCAAAAGCCGGCAGGATGCGCGCTCCTCCTTGCGCTTTTATTAGGTTTTCGACCCCATTCCTGCTAATATTTATCGGCACACATTCGTTCCTTTTGAGAACTTTATATCGTATATGCAAGCATCCGTCGAAATGCTAGTTCGTGGAGCGTAATGGGCTGGCACACAGTGGCCTGGCAGAAGTACAGGAAAGGCTGCGGTCGGCAGCCGCAGAGCAGCATTGTCTTGCCCTTGCGGGTCGCCTTTGATCCACGGCATTCGGTTTCGTTGCCGTGGCGCCATCGCTTAAACGCGTCGTGGTCGAAAATTTAGCGGTACGAGCCTTGGTGCAAATCGCCGGGGGAACTTAAGTCCCCTTTTTGTAGTATATCACGCGGGTATGTAAATTCATCTGTTTTGCTCGTCTTTTTTTTAACTTCTGTTGCACAATTACGTTTATGGAAGCATAACTACCAGCTCCGCGGAAGGAGAAAATATAAATACAAAAGACTTCTCCCACATCCATCCAAAACCCAGCAGGGCTTTCCTTGTTGCTTCCTTATTTCTTGCCATCTGCCTGAAACCCCTCGTTGTAGGCTGGTCCTCCTCGTTATTATCGTTCAGGTAGTTTTCCAGCGATTTGTCGAGCTGCATGCCCCTGAAGGGGTCGCTGCCGGCGAGCAGGTCGATCTTGGAGCCGTCCTCGGGCGAGACGCGCAGGGCGTACAAGGTCGACGCCACCACGGGACTGGACATCTTTTGGTAGTTGAAGATGACGACGCTGCAGGCGCCAAAGATGGCGAGGAAATGGGGAATGTGCGCATCCGGCGGAACTGCGTGGCCCGACGTCTGTTGATTCGGCACATTCCGGTTGGTCAGGGGCCGATGCCCTCTTTCACCTGCTCCCCATTTGGGGAAAAAGGTTGGATTTGACTACAGGTAGCAATCACTTATCGGGAAGCTCCCGATCGGCGTGGCGCTCCATGAACGGCCTAAACCCGGGCTTCGGTACCGCGGAAACGCCGCGCCGTAGCGGCAAAGCCAGCCGCCTCGAAGCTTAGGACTTCGGCAAAAGGCAGGCTATCCTGCTTATTGTTTTTGGTAACATGCTGTCTGGCTTTTTGTGGGCATGGAAACAGCGTTTTAAAAGCTCAAACCAAAATCAGACCGCAGCTCTGGATGCGCTTGGAATTTCATTAATGCAATTAGAAATTTCGAAAGGCTAAATTAATTTTTATCGGATTTTATCCGAAAAAATCCCCACAAAAAAGTTTGGATCTGGGCGTTCTAACCCGCACCGATCTCAACACTACCAACAAAATCTCGCGACAGCAAAAGTCGGCTCCCAAAGACCAAAGTCGAAATCGCGGCATCGGATCAGCAGTATCCCTCGTATCGGTTCATCTACGGCCGCAATTGCCTCAGCTCTCGGCTTCCTCATTTTTTAGCTTCCTTATTTTTTAGCTTCCTCAGCGCCCGCACAGATGCCCACCACGCGCGACCGAGCGCGGCGATGAGCATGTCGACGGCCAGGAGTCGCTCGCATCATCGGCGCTGCCGACGAGGACGTCGGCGAGGGCCAGCCCGACGCGAACGAGGACTAATCCGACATTGAGCCCACGACCAGCGCCAGAGCCTCGGGAGCAGACGGTCGCCACCAGCCCCGTCTTGCTCAAGGCCGCGGGGCAGATCGGCGGCGGATGGTACGGCTAACCAACAGGATAAGCCACAAAGCCAATGCAAGTACCGCGCACCCGCGACCGAGGCTGGAAATGCTGACGGCCGATCCCTGCAACTCTCGCAGGCGCTCCTCCGCCCGTCCGGCATGCTGGCCGATATGGGCGAGCTCGGCTCGTCATTGGACTCGATTTCCAATCACCTCAGCGTGCTATCCCGGCTCAGCGACACCGCCTGCGATGCAAGCAAGCCCTTTTGTGCACAAAACGATGCGATCACGGCTGACTGACCACTCATGTTTCCCCAGAAGCTCGAGGACCAGACGAAACATACCGACAGGTTGGATGCCGTCGCCCTCACCGCACTGTTAGGACAACTCCCCTCCAACAAGGAATATCGTGCCAGCGCCGCCCACTACCCGAGTCCCCACCCCCACCCCGTCGACGGTCGAACCTCCCGAAACCGAAGAGCTCGAGTACGAGACCAGGTGTCACAAAGCCCTCCTCGATGACGGCTGCAGGCCGCTGTTCCACGCCGGCCTCCTCACGCGAGTCGAGGCGAACCTGGACGCGTAGGGCGACTTGCTACGGTCTTGGGCGAGACCCCGACGCGACGACGCCGGATTTGAAGGACTGGCAGGCTCTCACCAGACAGTGGGACCGCTGGAGGGAGTTCCGCGTGTGGCAGCTACGCGGCAGGCGGTGGACGCCCGGCTTCGACAGATATCTCAACGCGCACCGGAGAGGGCCGCTGGCCCGCAGTTCGAGGAGGTCACGCGCCGGCTTTGGGGACGTGAATTCGCTGGGGCGCGGCGTTCGAGTAGGCATGACGTATCAGACGGGGGCGTAAGGTGACTGGCTGATGCCGAATCGACGGCTTCGGCGAGCTAGGATTCCCGTGTCGCAGGCTGGAAGCCTGGGGATCCAGACTGATACATAAAGGCGAGCGTTGATGATGGCGGGGCGCTGCAGCTGCCTGTGATAGCGCAGCTTCACCTACGAATCATTGACCCCCACCATGCGGCTCCCGTTCCGCAGCCAGGGCAATAGACGGCGCTAAAGGTGAAATCTAGCAGGAATTTAGCTCGCAGTCGCAAGTTTGAGCCGGCTGCCGTCGCTCCTGACGGACCGTGGCCCAGCACCGTTCTATCCGCAGGTTGTAGAGAATTGTTGAATAGCAAATCTACGATACACGAACTCTGCCACTGCCCACCGGAATAGTTAACCGAAAATGCCTGGCGCTTCTACCCATGCCGGTGTGGACGGCCGACATGCCCCTGGCGTCTGTAGTGTTTGGTGTCCGCAATGTCCTTACCGCGGCCAAACCTTCTCGATGGCGACTAGCAAACGATTGGGTCTTTGCGCCTTGACCACCTAACAAGTCAAGGCGATTCTCGAGTTTGGCCGAGGCCGCGACTATGGGAGGCGGAGCGTTTTCGACGGCTGAGTCGGAGGCAACCACAAGCGCCATGGTTCCTTGCATGGAAGTGTTGTCGGTCGGCGTGTCCATGATCGGGACGCGGCAAATGCTACAATAACCCAAATGCGCGGCCGTAGAGCGCGGGTCGAGTAGAGATGCTACCTGGGCTTTAGTGGAGCCGTGGATCGCGGCCCGCTCCGAGGCGTTGACGGGTCGGGGACAGTTTTCTTCCCACGGTTCTTCACCGTGACCGCCCGCCAGGAATTGCAGCTTGGCGGGTCGACGATTTGGCAGCAATGCCCCACCGTCGAATCCAGCAATTCCCTACGCTTTTCCAGACATACCCTGGCTCGCCGAATCCACCGCTGGACCGGCGGTCGATTGCCGTGCGCCGTTGATCGATGCGGCCCGGGAACCCTAACGCCCAAGCACATTCAACACTAGTGCCCCATGAGTACAGGCATGGATACACGTCTGCCTACAGCCGCAATGATGTCTACGCTTCGGGGCACGCCCGCATTCACGTCGGGAACAACGTCTCGACCGCCATCCACAATTACTGCGGGCGTGAACGGCAACGCCTGTCTCGCGGCCCTGCGGACCACCGACCCCAGACACAACAAGGCACGGATCGAGGGGGACAAAGGCGGCTTGCTGGACGATGTTTACCAATGGGTCCTCGGCAACCACGAACTCCTCCAGTGGCGGCAGGGCGACCAGAACAGGCTGCTATGGATCAAAAAGGACCCCGGCAAAGGCAAAACCATGCTGCTGTGCAGCATCATTAACGAGCTGGAAATAAAAGGTGGCCCCTGTCCTATTTCTTCTGTCAGGCAACGGACCAGCGGGGAGACATCTCTCATGGCGGCGAGGGGGCATCAAGCGCATTCGACGGAAGAAGTGGGTGGTGGCAGCGGGGGCCCCAGGCGCATCGAGGTGGGTGGCGGCGGTGCGTTGCGGTGAAAAGTGAATAGGGAAACCCAGTGTGTGTATTCAGATTCACTTCTTCTGGTCCAGTGGGTGGGAAACGCCCTATATGTACAGAGGGGCCTGTTCCTCCCCCCTGCCCCATGACGCACGGTACTGCTACAAGTGGTGCATGTGTTCAGTCACGTGCTCACTTTCAGCACGTTGGTGGCTCTGGGACCAGAGAAGTGCCATGAACAGAATTCCGTTCTCGGTTTTTTTTCTTCTCAAACGCTCAGAAATCGGAGGGAGGTGTCGCATTTATTCTACGGCTGAGCATGGAAAGAGCACCAGGG